TTCGTTTGCCACCACCACCACCAGTTTGTTGTACCCCATAGATTGTGATACACGATAAGCATAATAAAAGCAAGCCTCGTAAGGTACAAAGTACACACACTACACACTAGACTACAAACTAACAACAGCTGACACCGCCCCTCCCCTCCCCTACCCCCATGTGGATCTACGTCTCATTCTCATTGATTTGGCCACCCCGATTTTTCTCGCTATTCTCTTTAGATTTTCCTAATTTTCTACTCAAAATTTGCCAAAATGTGGGTCTCGAAACGCCTTCTGGCTACTGTAACGAATGTTTCCAGAACGATTCCCAAAATTCCATTGAATTTGAATGCGCCAAAATTGCACGAAAAACTCGTGCAATTTGAGACCGAGAAAGGGAATTTGGGGGATTTGCGAGCGGTTTATGAGGCAAAATTTTTGGCTGGCCGAGTTTTGGATTTCTAGGCAATTTGGGTTACTAGGTCAGCTTTGATTTATTCCGGCTTATAGTAACCATTAAAGATCGATGGCCGAGTTTTGGATATCTAGGCCACGTCAGACCAATTCTAGGTCATTTTAAGTTGGTGGCCTANAAAACCCAACTTGCAAAAATTAGGCCACCACTACAAATAACCAAAAAAAAAAACCATATCAGGGGCATGTTAGGCCGTTTTTAGGCTATTTTACCATGATGGCCAAATTTTCACAAATTGAGTTTTCTAGGCCACCAAGGTAAAATGACCTAGAAAACACACCAGGGTCATGTTAGGCCGTCTTTAGGCTATTTTACCACGGTGGCCTAGAAAGCTCAACTCGCAAAAGTTAGGCCACCACTTCAAAATGACCTAGAAAACACACCAGAGACATGTTAGACCAATTTTAGGTCATTTTAAGTTGGTGGCCTAGAAAACTCAACTTGCAAAAGTTAGGCCACCACTTTAGAATCACCTAGAAAACACTATAGAGTCACGTTAGATCATTCTAGGACATTTTACCATGGTGGCCTAGAAAAACCAATTTGAAAAAGTTAGGCCACCACTTCAAAATGACCAAAAAAGACATCTGGACTATGTTAGGCCAGTTATAGGTCATTTTGACGTGATGGCCTAGCTTTTACAAGTTAGGTTTTCTAGGCCACCAAGGTAAAATGACCTAGAAAACACACCAGGGTCATGTTAGGCCGTCTTTAGGCTATTTCACCATGGTGGCCTAAAAAACTCAACTTGAAAAAGTTAGGCCATAACGTTAAAATGGTTACTAGGCACTTGCGAAACGTCACACTTTCGAAACGTCGTCTTTCGAAACGTCGCGGAGCCAAGAAAGGAGAGAAGGAGAAAGAGAGATGAGCAACAGCAACGGTACCCCCTCGCCATCCCAGAAGGCATACCTAAGTTTTAATCATCATACCGCAAGCGTCGCGTGCGCGCGTTGCGGTTAGCTGGCATGATGCCAGAGGCACTGTGAACAGTGAGCAAACTGGCATAATAGGTGTGCGAGATACCCAAAAGAACAACACAGGTTTCCAAGAATTAGAATTTATTACTTCAAAAGGAAAAGAGATATTAGCGGGGAGAGATCTGACTGATGAGGTCAGGTACATATGATTGGGGGGAGATGGGATAGATCCTTGGAATGACGTCTCAGTCCTTCTTGGTCGTGGTCTTCTTAGCTGGAGCCTTCTTGGTCTTTGACTTTTTGGCAGCTAGCTTTGGAGTTGCAGCCTTTTTGACGGTCTGAATTAGTTAAAAGTTTATAAGCCGTTCTAGATCTGAATTCATACCTTGGCGGGAGCCTTCTTTGTTGTAGCTGTTTTCTTTGGAGTGGCAGTTTTCTTTGTTGCTTTTTTGGTGATCTGAAAAATCTGGATATTTTTTTTAAAGTTTGAATCTCTAGGATCTACCTTAGCCGGAGCCTTCTTTGGGATCTGCGTCGGAGCCTCCTCAGCTCTTTTTGTAATGCAAGCTCTAGTGGGCTGTTTACGTCTTTGAAATGGATGGGGTCTCTCGTCAGGACAAGACCTAAGATACAAGGGGTTTATATACACTTTCGGTGGCATCCATAATGGCATTTTTTTTTGTTTGCCTGGAAAACAACTTTTATCGAAGAAAAATGCGGTTTGTCCAGAGAAGACTGTTTCTGATTGTGAGCGGTAAAAACAACCCTCGAAAATGGTTTCTAGAAAACAATAAGTGAACGAGGAAAGAGAAAAATCCAATAAGACATTCGATTCAAATGACCGGGCAAGACAACATAGGAGAAACAGACGACGAGAGAGAACACAACGCGCGTCGTTACGTACCAAGGACCAGCTGGCATGATGCCAAGGTACCCAAAAGAACAACACAGGTCTCCAAGAATTAGAATTTATTAATTCGAAAAAGAAACGAGATATTAGTGGGGAGAGAGATCCGACTGAGGTCAGGTACATATGATTGGGGGAGATGGGATAGATCCTTGGAATGGAGTCTTAGACTTTCTTGGTGGCGGCCTTCTTAGCTGGAGCCTTCTTGGCGAGAGCCTTCTTGGAAGCTTGCTTTGGAGTGGCAGCCTTCGAGGTAACCTTCGTGGTCTGAAATTATGAAAGTTAGAATGGAAGTCTGTAATTCTAGCTCATATAATTCAGAGGTACATCTGACGTTGGTTCTGAGAATACAATTTGTTTTAATTTGGCGTCAATGATGTACCCTCTGAACCAAGGTGACCTCAGATGTACCCCAAGGCTCCAGGTACCCTTAAGTACTTCATCCCTAATCCTATAAACAAATCTACACCTTAGCTGGAGACTTCTTTGGTGTAGCAATTTTCTTTGGAGTCGCTGTCTTCTTGGCGATCTGAAAAATCAGATGATCCTTTTCAAACATTTGAAAATCTATGTTCTACCTTAGCCGGAGCCTTCTTCGGGACCACCGTCGGAGTCTCAGCCTTCTTTGGTGTGACAGTTTTCTTCGGAGTCGCTGCCTTTTTAGGGGTGGCGGCCTTCTTGGCAGCTGGAGCAGGATCTTCTGGAGCATGCTCGACTGGAGCATTCTTCTTCGGAGTTACGGCTTTCTTTGGAGTCACGGCCTTCTTGGCAGCCGGAGCGTCCTTGACTGGAGCAGCCTTCTTCGGAGCTACAGCTTTCTTTGGAGTCACGGCCTTCTTTGGAGCTCCGGCCTTCTTGGTGACAGGCTTGACTTGTTTTCTCGCCATTCTGAGTTTTTTGTGTCTGAAAAAAAAATTGTAAGAAGAAAATTTTCGAAGAAAAACAACAGAAGAAGGAGCAATTCTTTTTCTTTTTGAAATTCCGCACGACACAGAAAAAAAAAGAGAAAAGGATTTTTGAAAAATCGATGCTGATAAGTGAGGGAGAAGAGAAACGAATACGAAAGAATGAACAAGAACAAACAGAGATGGCGCATTTCTCGCGCGCTGGATGTAGATCATAAAGGGTGTGCAGGAAGAAGGTACTGTAGATCAAAAAGGATCTTTAGCAGGTCTGGAAGAGTAGATCAAAAATTTCCGAGATTTCCATTTAGATTGATTTGGGAAACTTTGAGCACATCTAAATTGGAATTTCCAGAAATTTTATAAAACTCCTAGAAAACCCTTGGCCTAGAAAACTCAAATTCCGAAAGATAGGTCACCATGGTCAATGGCCTAGAAAACTCATCAAGTGCATATCAAACCGTTTCTAGGTCTTAAAGGTTGGTGGCCTAGAAAAATCAACTTGCCAAAGTTAGGCCACCATTTGTTAAGGCCTAGAAAACACATAAGCTGCATTTCTAGCAGATTCGCCATGGTGGCCTAGAAAACACAAATTGCAATAGTTAGGCCACCGTGTTAAATTGACCTAGAAAACACACCAGGGGCATGGTAGGTCATTTTAGATCAGTTTAGCTTGGTGGTCTAAAAAACTCAACTTGCGAAAGTTAGGCCATCTCTTCAAAATAGCCTAGAAAACACCTATGTTAATATCAAAGAATTTCTAGGCTCATTTATCATGCTGGCCTAAAAAAACTCTACTTGCCAAAGTTAGGCCATCATGTTAAACTGACCTAGAAAACAGACTAGGTGCATTTTAGGCCATTTTCGGATAGCTTGTCCGAACTAAATTTCGAAAAAAAAATCCCATATTCAAGTTTTCAGCCTACCCCGGACAACGATTCACCAACGTTGAACGTCAAAGATTCTCGGAAGCTCTACTAGGCGAACTAGACCTCCCAGGAAAAATTATCATAATGGGACACAGTAGAGGATGTGAGAATGCACTGATCACAACGACACATCGGAATCCACATGGATTGGTTATGATCAATCCGACGGGATTGAGAATTCACAAAGGATCAAGACTTAAAGGAAAACTGGAATCGTTTAATTTTATGCATAAGCAGTTGGGGATCCTGTGATGTATCAATGTGAGTTTTGATAATCTTGGGATTTCGAGATTCTGAGATTCTGAAATATTAAAATTCTAAAACCCTGAGATTCTGAAATTCGGAAATTCTGTGATTCTGAAATTCAAAGATTCTGAGATTCTGAGATTTTCAAATTCTGAGATTCTGAGGTTCTGAGATTCTGAAGTAATTTTCAGAAGTTTGGAAGTTCGGAAATTTTGAAGTTGTGACATTCTGAATTTCCGAAAATCTCGAATTCTGAGATTCTAAGGTTCTGTAATTCTGTAATTCTGAAATTCTGAAATTCTGAAATTTTGAGATTCTGAGATTCTGAAATTTTGAGATTCTGAGATTCTGAGGTTCGGAGATTCTGAGATTTTGAGATTCTGAGATTCTGAGATTCTGAGATTCTGAGATCCTGAGATTCTGAGATTCTGAGATTTTTAGATTCTGAGATTCTGAGATTTTGAGATTCTGAGATTCCGAAATTCTGAGATTCTAAAATTTTGAAATGTTGAAATTCCGAGATTTTGAAATTTTAAGGTTCTAAGATTCTGAGATTCTGAGATTCTGAATCTGAAATTCTGGATTTCTTAAATTCTGAGATTCTCGAATACTGAAATTCTGAAGTTCACCAACAAAAATTCCGAATTTCAGTACTGAAATCAGTTGGATTCACGATAAAAGACGGCGCGGAAGCTGTAGCCGTGATCCGGTCCATTCAAAAATGTGACTTGGAGAAACAGCTGGACCATATCCTAAAACTAAATGAGATTCCCACAAAAACCATGATTACGTTTGGCGGAAGAGAGCATCTGATTGAGAAGGAAATCATATTTAAGTCACTTCAAAAGTATCAAGGATTGAAACATTTTGTGAGTCAGCAATTGGTTTTGGAAGTTCTGAAATTTTGAAATTCTTAAATTCTTAAATTCATGGGTTCTGGGGTTCGGAAGTTCTGAGGTTTTCAGTTTCTAAGATTTTGAGATTCTGAGATTCTGAGATTCTAGGATTTTGAGATTCTGAAATTTTGAAATCGTAATATTTGATAATTTAAGATTCTACCAAAGACTTCAACGTTTTATATATTTTCAGAACTTCAAGTCTGAAATTTCCAATTTCGAAAAAAACGAAATTCTGGAAGTCTTCAAAAATCAAACAGGAGCTTCTATTTTTGTGGCAACTGATAACCATTTTCAAAACAAGAAACGGGCGGATCTACTGGCTGACGGAGTCAAATCAATGTTTTCTCACTGATGTTTATTTTCTATGAAATTTCAAAATAAAAACATGATTCTGAGATTCTGAAACTTTGCAGGAAACTTTGAAACTCTGAAGTTCTGAAATTCCGAAATTCTGAAATTCTGAGATCCCGAGATTCTGAAATTCTGAAATTATAAATTTCTGAAATTATAAAATTCTGAAATTCTGAAATTATAAAATTCTAAAATTCTGAAATTCTAAAATTCTGGAATTCTAAAATTCTGAAATTAAAAAATTCTAAAATTCTGAAATTGTGAAATCCTAGCAAGATCAAGATTCTGAAGTTTTGATATTCCGAAACTCTAAAATTTTTACGTTTTCGAATTGCGAGATATTGAAGTTTTGAATTTCAGATACTAATTGTGAAATTTGAAAAATGAGATTCTCAGACTCTCAGATTCGGAAATTCTGAAATCTTTCAAGACTCCAAACTTCTGAGATTTTTCGAAACTTCAATTTTTCTCCTGTAAGTTCTCAGTGTTATATTCGGACGCTCCGATGTTTTAAGCTTCTAAGACCTTCAGATTTTTCATATTTCGATACTTTGAGCTTTGAGCTCTTAACGCTAGTTTCAAAAATTGCATTTTCAAAAAAAAAAAGAGCAACTTGGCTTTCTAGTCTTTCAAAAGTGCTTTTGCCATTTTCGAAGTCTCCTAATTTCTGAAAAACGCCCACTCGAGAGTATGATTATGGAGTATTTCAAAAGATCACAAAAAGTTCATTATTCCATCCCCAAAAAATTGTTCACAAATACTATGATCTTTACAGTAATAACATATTACAAGCTTGAATTCTACTTCCCACGAACAACCGCACTACTTAAAAGTCCCCTTGATTTTCCTTGATTTTTTTTTAGTTTACTCAGAATTACTAGACCAAACCAATTTCAAGATTTTTCTAATAGTGCCACCCGCCACACCTTTTCATGGCAACAAATTAATTAACATTGCAAGTAAGAAAATTGGCATTTTCATTTAATCACTATTTCTTTTAACTCCACTACAACTTCTCTTACAACTGAGCAATGGAAATAGTCAGACCGAGTTGTGAAGAAACGATGTTTCCCGAATACAGTAATAAGACACTCAAAATCCTATGTTCACTTCATGATGGCCTAAAGGAACTTTATCTATTCTGCTTAAATTATGAAGCTTATGTTGCTCTTTTGGTGTTCATCGTAAACTTCTTCCACTTCATCGTTCTAACCAGAAAATCCATGAGATCTTCCTCTATCAATTGGATAATGGCAGCTACTGCAATCACTGATATGATCTCACAGTTGTGGCCTTTATTTTGGGGACTTGCACAAATTTTCGCATTCTTCTACCCTTGCTATTCCAAAAAAACAGCCTACCTGATTTATTTTCTCGACAATCTTTTCACTGCCATTGATAGCTTCTCAAGAAGGTGCACCACATGGCTGAGTCTATCCATGGCATTTATAAGGACTCTCGTGATTCGAAACCCTTTGAAACTACATTATGACAACCTTACAAAACCAAAAGCTGCGTTTATTGTGGTCGTTATAGTTGGAATTGCTTGCCTGCCTCTTGGGATAATGAACTATTTTTGGAGAGCTATAATAGAAGAAGAAGGTGTTGAAGAGTGTACGGGAAATGGAACTTCTGGTTTTGAATATTATACGGAAACTTCTGCATGGTTCGCAGACAATGATATGTTGGTTTATAATATTTATTATTATCTGGAGGGTGTGTTTTTTAAGGTAAGCAATGCTTACTAGAGTTCCGACCCGCGAGACGATTCGCGCTATTCTCGCGAGTTCTCGCGAGAATATGCGAGAATTTCGCAATAGTCGCAATGGCAAATGAAATTGGCACTTAATTGACGATAAATAGCTGAATTTAACTTCTGAGTAAGTGTTTAGAATTACTCATTCTAGGAAAAAATTGTAGCTTAATCTGGGATCCGGAATCCGAAATCTGAAATGCGGAATCCGGAATCCGGAATCAGAAATCCGGAATCCGGAATCCGATACCCAGAATCCGGAATCCGAAATCCGGAACCCGGAATCCAGAAGCCGGAAATTGGAATCCGGAATGCGGAAGCCCAAATCCTGAATCCGGTCATCTCTGGTAGAAATGTCCTGAGGTTCGCTTATTATGTTAATAGGGCCTATTAAAAATGATGGCCTAACTTTCCCAACACGAACATTTCTAGGCTACCATGGTACATTGTCTAGAAAACAAACGAAAAGAATGTTAATTTCAGATATCCACCTGGTGTGTTTTCCAGGTTGGTTTAGCATGGTGCTAACTTTCGCGAGATGGGTCTTCTCTGTCACCAAGGGTTCAAAATAGCTCTGTTTTGCTCTTTTTTTTATTGCTGATGACCGATAAGAACCGTAGAGCCTATATTTTAAGAAATCTAATGTCAAGTTCAGCTTTTAATTGTCAATTAAGTGTTGATTTTGATTGTCATTCTCGCAATGGCGACTTTTGCGAGATTCTCGCATATTCTCGCGAGAATTCGCGAGAATGACGCGAGAATTAATTTTTGCGAGAAGCTATAAATGCGAGAGCGAGTATATGCGGGTAAATGCGAGAACGTGCGAGAACGAGAAAATGCGAGAATGATGCGAGAATATGCGAGGCAGGTCCAACATAAAAATGCGAGACTCGCAAAATTTTCTCGCAAGGTTGCGGATGCTGACTCTCGCGGGACGGAACTCTAAATGCTTACTAAGCATGGGATTGAGCAATTTCTGCTATTTCTCACAGGAATGTCAACTGATAATCATTTTATCAACTGACCACTTTTTGGCATCTTTCCCGGGAACGGAGATAAATTGGTTGAAAGTTTACTGTAAGATACATTCAAGTCTTTCAGTTTATTCCCAGCATTCTATTCCCAATCGTCACTATTTTCTTGATAATCGAAATCCGAAAAAATGATAAATCCAGCCGGAAGGCTCTGAATTCGCGTTCTGAGAAGGATTCCGGGAAAATGACGAGACTAATATTCTATTTAAGTCTAACGTTTTTTGTCGGAGAGTTTCCCATGGCAATATTGTATACCCTTAATCCAATTCTCGATAGGTATTCAAATAATCCGGGATTCTAGTGAGTAACATATTTTAAAAATAACATTCCCTTTACGAATTTCAGTTTTGCTACGGTCTACGCTCAATCAATATTTTTCACTGTCTTGAGAGTTACATCAGCAATTCATTTTCTCATTTGTTTTTTAATGTCCTCACAGTACAGGACTACCGCAACAAGTGTTATTCTGTGTGGTTATACACCAAAACAAAATGTATCTTACTTTTTTTTTTCGAAAAATTTAATAATTTTTCTTTCAGATAATCCAACCAGTGCAATCAATTCACTCAGGCGCTACATCTGCAGTGTTCTCAAAAAATGCGTCTCCGCCAGTCACTCGTACGCAATTCTGATGATTTTCAAGTTGTTATATATTATTAATGTGACCGTAAAACCCGTAGTAGAGGGGCCCCCCACACATTGTCAAGTTTGAGCTCAGTTATCTGAGCTTCTATAAGAGATATCAAAAATGTGTCAACTGATAAAATGTATAGGATATTATGATAAACCATTAATCGATTGAGAAATTGTTTATATCTTTATCAAGAACCGAGATAAATTGGCTCAAATTTGAAAACCAGGAGGCCGTTCTATTACAGGTTTTACGGTACTCCCATTTTGGTTTTTGAATGCTTATTTTTGAATTTTTGTGTTAGTTGCTGACAGTGTGCCTTATCGACAAAGATTTTCCGATTTTGTCGACAAATTTACCTGACAAATTATCGATAAATTTTTCGATAAAAAACGATAAAATTTTGTCGAAAAATTGTCGACAAATTATTGGAGAATTTGTCGAAAGTAATTTATCGACAAAATTTTGTTGACAAATTGTCGATAAATTTGTCGAAGGGGGCATTTGTCGACAAATTATCGACAAAAATTGCTATTAACCGTCGGAATTACTTGTAAAAAATCGTATCTCATCTTTTTTTTTCTAGGCCATCTGAACTGGTGGCCTAATTTTTCCAATATGAATTTTCTTTTTTGCCTAGAAATGGTCAGAAATTCACCTGGTACATTTTCTGAGCCATTTTTACATGGTGGCGTAGAAAACTCAACGCGCGAAAGTCAGACCACCATGTTAAAATGAGCTAAAAAATACACCAGGTGAACATCAGATCATTTCTAGGCTAAAAAGAATCGTGGCCTAGAAAATTCATGTTGTGAAAGTTGGGCCACCAAGCCAGATAGCCTATAAAGTTTGCCTGGGTAAGTTCGGCCATCATTCTAGACGTCCTAGAAAAAAATGGTAACGATACGATTTTTTACAAGTAATTCCGGCGGTTAATAGCAATTTTCGTCGACAATTTGTCGATAAATTTGTCGATAAATCGTCGACAAACAGCATTTTTATTGACAAATTTATCGATAAATTATCGATAAATGTTGTTTTTATCGACAATTTTTGGTAATTTTCCGATAAATTTACCGGTAAATTTGTCGATAAATTTGTCGAAAAGGGCGTTTGTCGATAAGGCACACTGGTTGCTGTACTAAACAATTATTTTACCATCGTTTTTTGTTTTAATGAATCAAAATACAGCTTCCCGGCGTTCGCTATATTTGCACAAAATCCTCGTCTCACTGGAGCGCACTTTCCTCGGGGGTCTTCCCTCTTTTTTTCCTCCTTTCCTCCATTGAAATTCCACGCCGCTTGCATTGATTTTTCCTCTCATAAAACTAGTTTGTAGTCTACATTTTCAATGAAAAATGGACCCTATAAAAATCGAAAAGAAGTTAATCAAATTTCAAGCGACAGATGGCAGAGAAGTCGAGTTGGAAGCGGTGTATGAGGTAAGATTTTTAAATACTTCGAAACCTGTATTAAAAGGGCCGTAAATTGCGGAATTCCCGGAACATTTTTCACTGAAAACGTACAAAATTTTAAATTTTAGAGCACATTTCGAAGGGGGTCCTTTTTTTACAAGGGGGTCCTTCTATTACAGAGAGCACTTCTAATTTACCAAGCCCCTCTTGGAGGGCCTTTCTATTAGAGGGGTCTTTCTATTAAGAGCCCTTCTAATACAGGTTTTACGGTATTCGATTTTAAAATCTAAACCGTTTTTTTTCAGGATACCATTCCGTCTGGATCGTCTCTGGGTACTGTAGTTGGATTCCATGGATCACCTGGGTCACACAAAGATTTCAAGTATGTCAGGAGCAAGTTGGATGAGATGGGAATTCGATTCATCGGCATCAATTATCCTGGATTTGGGAATACCTTGGGTGAGTGGTCTTGAGGGGCTCTAAAATTTAGAATATCATTAAACCTGTAATAGAAGGGCCCTCTCGGTTCATGGGAAAGGTATCAAAAATGTGCTAACTGATAAAATATTGGTGATATTATGATAAACAATTTATCAGTTGACAACTTTTTGATATCTTTTACAGGAACCGAGATAATTGAGCTCAAAGTGAAAAATGAGTGGTGAGTGGGGGGGGGGGGTAGTTTACTGTAGCTTTTGATAAGAAACAGGGCTACTGATAAGCAAACTAATATTCATACAAAATTTTCAGGTTACGAAAACCAAGGACACACCAATCCAGAACGCCAAAACTACACCAACGCTCTGCTCGACGCTGTGAAAGTCGAAGGAAAAATCATATTCATCGGGCACAGTCGTGGATGTGAAAACGCGCTTCAGACGGCTGTTGGGCGGCCTGCTCATGGACTTGTTCTCATAAATCCGACTGGTTTCAGACACCATAAGGGTATTCGGCCAGTTTATAGATTGGAATACTTGGATTGGTTGTATGGAATTCTTCCGGCTTTTATGGGAAATGCTATGATGGGAGGTGAGTTTGGAGTTTTGAATTTTGATATTTTAAAAATGTGAGATTTTGAGATTCTGTAGTTCTGGAATTCCGAAATTCAAAAATTGCCCACTCCAGATCTGATTGATATTATGAAATCTCGTGTTCTCAGACTCTGAGGCTTTAAAATTCTGAGATTCCGAAAATCACGAATTCCGAAAATTTGAAACTGAAATTCTGAGTTTTTCTAAATCCTGAGATTCTAAAATTCTGAAATTCTGAGGTCTCTAAATTCTGAGATTCTGAGATTCTGAAATATCGAAATTCTGAAAATCGGAAGTTCTGAGATTCTGAGATTCTGAGATTTTGAGATTCTGAAATTCTGAAAATTTTGAAATCCTGAGATTCTGAAATTCTGAGAATCTAAAATTCTGAAATTCTGAGATTCTCAGATCCTGAGATCCTGGAATTCTGAGATTCTGAGATTCTGAGATCCTGGAATTCTAAGATTCTGAGATTCTAAGATTCTGAGATTCTGAAATTCTGAGATTCTGGAATTCTGAGATTCTGAGGTTTTGAGATTCTGAAATTCTGAGATTCTGAGATTTTGAAATTCTGAGATTTTGAAATTCTGAGATTTTGAAATTCTGAGATTCTGAGATTTGAAGGTTCTAAGATTCTGAGATTCTGAGATTCTGTTATCCTGAGATTCTGAGATTCCTATTACGCAATTCTAAGATGCCAATGTTCTAAAACTTCCAAAACAAACTTTTTTCAGTCTACAAAGCAATTGGATTCCGAGTAAAAACTGGAGAAGAAGCGATTTGTGCACTTCGATCCGCAATGAGTATGTCCTTTGAAAATCAAATCGAGTATATTGAAAAACTAAACGAAACGGAAGTGAGTCAATTTTCATTTTCCCTCTATTAGAAGCCCACTTTGAGCTCAATTATCTCGAATGCCACAGAAGATATCAAAAATCTGTCAACTAATAAAATTTTCATCATATTATCACCAAAATTTTATCAGTTAACAAGTTTTTGATATCTCTTATAAGAGCCGAGATAATTGAGCTCATACTTGACAGTGTGGGGGCCCTTTTATTACAGGTTTTAGGCTAATTGAATTTTTTTCAATTTTACGATTTTCTGAATTTTTGGAAGCATTCTCCGGCTAATAGTAAGCATTCACGGCATTCTCAAAATGAAGTATTTTCAGACCAAAAAGCTGATTATATTTGGAGGAAGCGACCATTTAGTTGAAGAGGAAATCGTTCTTGAAAAGTTGGAGAAACACGACGGATTGGAGCATTTTGTGAGCATTCGAAAATTATTAAAAAACGTATTAACCCTATTTTCGATTTTCAGAGATTCGAGGATAGTATTCCAGAAGAGGACAAACTCAAAATTATGGATTCATTTTCGCGAAAAGGAGCATCGGTGTTCGTCGCAAAGGACACACATTTTCAGAATAAATCTCAGGCTGTGCTGGTGGCGGAGGCGTGTGGAAAGATGTTGGAAATTGCATAATTTATGTTAAACGAGCTTTAAATCTTTAAATTCGAATTTTACTTATTTTCGGTGCTGGTGAATAAATTATCTACAGTTCAAACGGTGTCAAAAGACTACAGCGTTCTCTATTGCAACCCATTTTTTTACTTACGCCCTCTGCGTCTCTAAAACCACCCATACTATTTCTCTCTCCTCCTCCTCGATTCCTCTGCACCCTCTTCGTTTTCCATGCTCTCTCGCCATGCATAGTTCCATCCCGTTGTAACAATTGTCTTTTTACCATCAATTAAATAACTTTTTCTAATTAAAAAAAATTGAAGAAAAGTGTAATGATAACGACAAAATTGTTGCGAGCGCCCTTGAAGAAAGTTTCGAAAATGTCTGAAGCGAATTTGTGCAAAAAATTGGTGAGATTTGAGACGGAGAACGGGCGGAACATCGAATTAGAGGCGGTTTATGAGGTAAGACATTTTTTGGAAAAAAAATTGGAGAAAAATCTGTAAAGAGTCTGAAAATTGATTTATTCCAGGACTCCCTTTCTTCTGGCTCGCCACTGGGTACTGTAGTCGGATTCCATGGATCACCCGGATCTCACAATGATTTTAAATATATTAGAAATCGATTGGATGAGTTGAATATTCGATTTATTGGAGTCAATTATCCAGGATTCACTTTTACCGATGGTGAGTGTTTAGCAGTCACCAAACTGATGGCCGTGGCCTAGAAAACTCACCGTGTAGTCCACTAGAGCCTGTTTCATTAGAAATTTCTGGTCGAATTTTCTACATGAATTTTTTAGGCCACCAAAATTTATGGCCTAGAATCGGTCCAAAATTCACCTGGTGTGTTTCCTAAGCCACTTTAACATGATGGTCTTAAAATCATACTTGTGGAAAAGATGGCCGGCCCGCGGGTCGGACCAGGCCGGGCCGGGCCGGGAAAATTAGGGCATCGCCGGCCCGCTTTTTGAAAAATTTGAAATTTTTAAGGGAATCATCATTTTTCGAGATGGATTTTATTCATAATAAAAGGAAATTTACATTAGAAGCTGATTCTGTGAAAAAACTGTTTTGAGGCCGGAGTTAGCAAAAAGTTTCATCCTTGGCAAAATAAAATTTGCATTTTTTCGCTAAAAATTGAATTAATTAAATTTTTCGAATGGTTTTATGCATTTTAATTAATATTTGATCTATTACAATTATTTTGGCACATTAAAAAACAAATATTTCGAAAATTCATTCAAGGCGGGCCGAGCCGAAGGTTTTTGAGCAGGCGGGCCGGCCCGGCCCGGCCCGGCCATCCACATGTATGCTTAAAATCAAAAAACTTGCAAAAGTTAGTCCACCATGTTAAAATGGACTAGAAAACAAACCAGGTGCATATCAGACCATTTCTCGGCCATACAAAGTTGGTGGCCGAGAAAACTCAAACTGGGAAAATTAGGTCACCATGTTGAAGTTGCCTAAAAACCATACCCGGCGAATATCAAGCCATTTCTAAGTAATAAAAGTTGGTGACCTAGAAACCCAACTTGCAAAAGTTAGGCCATCATGTTAAAATTAGCTAGAAAACACATCAGGTAAATATGAGATGATTTCTACATAGGTTATTTACCATTGTGGCCTAGAAAACTCACCTCTCAAAAGTTAGGCCACTATGTTATAATGGGCTAAAAACCCACCAGGTTAAAATTAGACCTTTTTAGGTCATAAAAATTTTGGCCTAGAAAACTCTATTTGCAAAAGTTAGGCCACCCACTGCTTTAAAATGACCCAGAAAGCTCACCGGGTGAATTTCAGGCCGTTTCTATGCTATCTACCATGATGACCTAGAAAACTCAACTCTCACAAGATAGGCCACCATATTAATATGGCCTAAAGTCCATACCAAATTAATATCATGCTATTTCTAGGTCATTGTGGCCTAGAAAACACAACTTGCAAAAGTTTGGCCACCATGGTAAACGACTTAGGAAACACTCCACGTAAAAGCCAGGCCTTTTCTAAATCATTCCCCATGGTGGCCTAGAAAACTCAAGTTGTAAAAGTTAGGTCACCATGGTAAAATGTCCTAGAAAACGCACTAGATAAACATCTGGCCATTTCTAGGTTATTTACCAGAGTGGCCTAAAAAACTCAACTTGCAAAAGTTAGGCCACCCACTGCTTCAAAATGACCTAGAAAGCTCACCAGGTGAATTTCAGGCCGTTTCTAGGCTATCTACCATGATGGCCTAAAAAACTCAAATTGCAAAAGTTAGGCCATCATGTTAAAATGAGGAGAAAAACAACTATGCGAAAATAGACTTGCATTACAAATGAATATCAGGTTATTCCTCGCAACAACACACCAACATCGAGCGTCAAAACTATTCAAACGCTCTACTCGACAAACTCGGAATCCCGGGAAAAATCGCGTATATCGGGCACAGTCGTGGATGTGAAAATGCGCTGGAGACAGCCGTCGGACGGTCTGGACACGGATTGGTTATGATAAATCCGATTGGGTTGAGAATTCATAGAGGAATCAATCCAATATCTAGAATGGAAGCAATCAGTTGGATGTATGAAATGTTACCGACTTTTGCTGGCAATGCAATGATGCTTGGGCGTAAGTGGATATCTGAAATAACCGAATAAAAGCCCATCCAACTTTTAGCTCAATTATCTCGGTTCCTGTAAAAGATATCACAAATTTGTGAACTGATAAATTGTTTATCATAATATCACCAATATTAATATTCTTGGGAACGAGCCATTATTTGTTCATTTCCGATCCATGGTTTTGGTGTTCAATAATCTACAAAAGGTCGTACTAGCTGTTCCTACTAAATTATATTCTAGTATACCCATGTGGCTCTATTTTTTGTTCAAAATAAGCCAAGTTTTTAGATTTTTCATTGAAAATACTCAAGATACCCTAAAACCTGTAATAGAAGAGTCCCCAAACTTTGAACCCATATATCTCATTTCCTGCTATAGATATCAAAAAGTTGTCAACTGATAAATTGTTTATCATAATTACAGAAATGTTTTATCAGTTGACACATTTTTGATATCTTTCACGGGAATCGAGATAATTGAGCTAGAAGGTGAGGGTTTGGGTGGGCTTCTGTTAGAGGAAATACGGTAGCTCGGTCTCGGGAGTCACCGGCTACTCCTGGTCGGAGGTTGGTCGGATTAGGGCCGGTACTACAGCCGCCCAGTCTTTGGCAAGCCTGTGATAAGGTTTTTCGACCAAAATCTGACCATGGTCTGTTTTACAGCCGTTTTTCGGCAAATTTCCGACGGGTACCTGGCCAATATCCGCCCAGAAGACTCAATTTCTGCTCAGAACTTTTGCCCACACACAACCGAATATACTCAAATTTTAGAATTTTGATTTTCAGTTTACAAAATGGTCGGGTTCAAAATTCAAACTGGCGAGGAGGCGATCAATTCAATGCGTTCCATGTGCAGGGTCTCTTTGGGTGGACAGTTGGAATTCATTGAGAAAACCAATGAAATGGATGTAAGAAGATTCGAGAATCTAAGAATCCAAAAAACCAAAATTTCAGATCAAAAAGCTCATTGTTTTTGCTGGAAAGGACCACTTGGTAGAGGAGGAAATCATTTTTGAGTGTCTTGAAAAACACGAGGGATTGAAGCATTTTGTAAGTTTTCACTGTAATTTGGAGCTCAATTATCTCGGCCCCTGTAATAGCTATCAAAAACCTGTCAACTGATAAAATATTTATCACAATATGACTAACATTTTATCAGTTAACAAAATTTTCATATCTCTCATGGGAATCGAGATAATTGAGCTCGAATTTAACGTGTTTTAAAGCTCTTATTTTTTTCAGAACTTTGAAAACAAGAAGATCCCCGAAGAAGATCAGCTGAAAATCATGGACGCATTTTCTAGAAAAGGAGCATCGGTGTACGTGGCAAATGATACACACTTCCAGAATAAATCGCAGGCGGTGCTGGTGGCTGATGCGTGTAGAGCAATGTTCGAAAATGGGAAGACAACGAAGAATAAATTGTGATTAGGATTACTGTAGTTTTCAGAATAAACAGATTTTTGAATATTTTCTCTTTTTTATTGGAATTTTGAAATATTAGATTCCGAATTTCAGAGATTCAGCAATTCTTATAGTATGAGATTCTGAAATTCTGAGATTCTGAGATTCTTAGATTCTTAGATTCTTAGATTCTTAGATTCTTAGATTCTTAGATTCTTAGATTCTTAGATTCTTAGATTCTTAGATTCTTAGATTCTTAGATTCTTAGATTCTTAGATTCTTAGATTCTTAGATTCTTAGATTCTTAGATTCTTAGATTCTTAGATTCTTAGATTCTTAGATTCTTAGATTCTTAGATTCTTAGATTCTTAGATTCTTAGATTCTTAGATTCTTAGATTCTTAGATTCTTAGATTCTTAGATTCTTAGATTCTTAGATTCTTAGATCCTCCGCATTCTTAGATTCTTAGATTCTTAGATTCTTAGATTCTTAGATTCTTAGATTCTTAGATTCTTAGATTCTTAGATTCTTAGATTCTTAGATTCTTAGATTCTTAGATTCTTAGATTCTTAGATTCTTAGATTCTTAGATTCTTAGATTCTTGGATTCTTAGATTCTTAGATTCTTAGATTCTTAGATTCTTAGATTCTTAGATTCTTAGATTCTTAGATTCTTAGATTCTTAGACTCCTAGATTCTTAGATTCTTAGATTCTTAGATTCTTAGATTCTTAGATTCTTAGATTCTTAGATTCTTAGATTCTTAGATTCTTAGATTCTTAGATTCTTAGATTCTTAGATTCTTAGATTCTTAGATTCTTAGATTCTTAGATTCTTAGATTCTTAGATTCTTAGATTCTTAGATTCTTAGATTCTTAGATTCTTAGATTCTTAGATTCTTAGATTCTTAGATTCTTAGATTCTTAGATTCTTAGATTCTTAGATTCTTAGATTCTTAGATTCTTAGATTCTTAGATTCTTAGATTCTTAGATTCTTAGATTCTTAGATTCTTAGATTCTTAGATTCTTAGATTCTTAGATTCTTAGATTCTTAGATTCTTAGATTCTTAGATTCTTAGATTCTCAGATTCTTAGATTCTTAGATTCTTAGATTCTTAGATTCTTGGATTTTTTTGATTCTTGGATTTTTAGATTCTTGGATTTTTTTGATTATTGGATTTTTTTTGATTCTTGGATTTTTTTTGATTCTTGGATTTTTTTTTATTCTTTTTCTTGGATTCTTGGATTCTTGGATTCTGAACTTCTGCATTGAATATCTGAAATGTTTGGAATCTTGAAATTTTGGATTCTGAATTTCGGATATTCTGAAATTTGGAAACTCTTAGATGCTACTTTTCTGAATTCTGCAAATTCTCCCGGAAAAAAAGCATACTAGCAACGGGCCGGGCTTTTTTCGGAATTTTCAGGGCCCGGCCCGGCCCGTCTCGGCCCGGATTTTCGGAAAAAAATTTTTCTGTCTTTCAAAATTATTTTTGGGGTCGACGGAAAAAAAGGAGAATTTTTCTGACAAGAAAAAATATTTTCAAGATAGGATTGTCCATAAAAAATAGTTCTTTCACAAAAAAATTTGAAAAAATTTCTGGAATTTCAAAATTTTTTTAAAATTTGGAGAACCCGGGTCCGCCGGGCCGGGCCCTGGAAATCCTCGGCCCGGCCCGCGGCCCGGCCCTGATTCTGCAAGTATGGAAAAAAGAACGTCACATTCCCCTAAAACACAAATTTTCCCATGTTTCTTTGGTTTTGTGTTTTCTCTCACACCCAAATCCTTCTAGTTTTGTTCTTTTTTCTGTAAACCAAAACTTTGATTTTTTGATTTTCTACCTAAAAGAAGCTAATGAATTGGATTTCGAAAAAATCTGAAAAACAAGAAAAACATAGATTCTAGCTATAGGAACCTAGATTGAAGATCGAACATGAATTCCAAGATTATGTTTTTTTCTGGAAATTTTTTTTTTCGGAAAATTCGATTACTTCCTAGAATAGACCAAGGAAAAAAAATCATCTCCAAAAACTGATTTTGTTATTCAGACTGTATCTAGTCATACGGTTTTTGGCGTTTGTTTAAATCAAAGTTTAACTTCGATCCAATTTATCTGGGTTCCTGCGAATGATATCAAAAAGTTGTCAACTGATAAATTGTTTATCATAATATCAGAAGAAATTTGTCAGTTGACACATTTTTGGTATCCATTACAGGAACCGAGATATAATGGCTGTTGACAACTTTGCCGCTTCCATCGGCAAGCCGCGCAGCCACCGTAGTTCAGCTGGTAGCAACTCGGGACCTCCAACGGTGGGCCCACTAGTTCAACTCCTCGAGAGGCTTATATGAACAAAACTCCAAGAAATACGACTTTCTCCTGTCCCCTCTTTTGTCAATGTCATTAATAAGTTCTTCAGTCTGTTCTCAAAAATGATGTTTCTTGTTTTTTTGTTATCCCCATGGGTACAATAGTTGTACCCTAACATTTATACTTCCGGTCCCGTGGTTCTGTCCGAACACTAATATTTTAGAGATGAGATGATTCAGAGAAATCTGATGTTACAGACCGAAAAATGTTTGTTTTATAACTTTGACATTTTTTCATTCGCTCAAAACATTTATTAAAATTCAAACGCATCCTAAGCTGCTAACTTTGAGCCCATATATCTCACTTCCTGTGAAAGATATCTAATTTTAAAATTCGAAAATTCAAGATTTTAGAAATTCTGAAATCCAAAAAATAGGAATTCAAGAATCCAGGAACCCAGGAACCCAGGAAGCCAGGAACCAGGAATCTAGGAATTGAGGAATCGAGGAATTCAGGAATACAGGAATCTAGGAATCCAGGAATCCAGGAAACCAGGAATTCAGGTATTCAGGAATTCAGGAATACAGGAATCCAGGATTTGGGATTTATGGATCTGGGAATCTAGAAGGTTAGAAATCTAGGAATCCAGGAATCCTATCAAAATTCAGTAGTTCGGAAATTCGAAAAGTCAAAAATTCGAAAATTCAGAAAACTCGAAAATTCAAGAAAAAATTAAATTATCAAAATTCAGTAATTC